TGACGACGTGATTCCTGAATGCAATGCCGTTTCAATCGTCAAAATCGGATGATTAGGAGCGTCGTAAACAGAAATTTGGGGAAAAGACAATTTTCCCCCTCCCCATTCCGTGCAGCAGTTACACCCGGGCGGTGCCGGGCGCTCGCTCGACGCGGCGCGGCGCGGCTAGATCGTCTAGATCAGGGGTGTCCAACTTGCAAGGGCTCAAGGGACACAACTAAAATCTTTTATTCGATTGCGGGCCATTCTTCGAGCGACCCACCCGTGACTTCCACGTATTGTTGCTATTTGCTCTCTGCGCGGCTGCTCTGAAACGGTGTGTGTGAGTGGGGGATGAGACCATGCGTGATATCAGGCTATGCCATGAATAATGCGGTGAAACACATTGGAATGGTATTGAATTTCGGAATTCATTAGAAAAAACATCTTGAATCTAAACTTTACCTTTTTTTACTTCTCGCACTTACTAACGTAAGAAGAGAAAGTATTGCAATCGTGCGCCAGAAAACAGCGAATTTTCGACACAAAAACTCTTGTTGTCAGACCCTGGTAATGAAAAAGTGAAGTTGCTAAATATATTAAAAAAATCCTCGAACTTCATATCGAAAAATCGATTGCCGGTAAAACGTCTGTCCATCTATCTGTCCGTCTGTCCGTTTGTCTGTCCACAACGCAACCGTTCAGCCGATTTTCTCGAAAATTGATATTCCCCAAGCGTTCTGGCTGATGTCATGTCTCCTGGAATTTGAATCCGATATTTTAATTTGGAGGTGCTTTATATGAAGCCCTTTGGAGATTTTCAAAATAATGGCTCCAGTATTTTATTAAATTTTGTTGTTAAATAGAATGAAAAACGTTTAAGAGAATGCAGGTATTATTTTCGTTGAGATTACCAATTTTTCGAAAATTAAAAAAAATTGAAAACTAAAATATTTTCGGTTGTGGGAGATTAGCTGAGTAAAGGAAATTATTGATATGAGTGGAAGAGGTTGGGAGGGGAGGGAATTCTGAATTTTCTAAGATTTGGGGGTTTTCCTTGGGAGTATTTTAAACTATTTTCTTTTGCTTAATGCGTCTATTTACATAATCTTTGTAAACTTGGCATCCTTTATAATCGGCTGGATGATTCCGAGCGCATAATGCGCAAGTAGCTGGCACTGTCTTTTCCTTTTTACAGAGATGTGTCAAGTGGATGTCTCAGCATTTGCTACATTTGGGAGTAGCTTTACGATACGACCTAGTGTGGCCATATTCTTGACATTGATGGCACTTTCCTTATATTATTATTTTGTAGGGTGTCTCAAATTTTACAATAAAATTTAGAAGTTTATTAATTTTGCATATTTCATATTGGGAGGGGTTTTTAGATCAATGAAGAACAGGGGGTGTGGTTTATTCGTTACTCTGTGACGAATGCTTGAATATTACGTACTGAGTGCCCTTGGGCTTTCAAGTCACGTTTTATGTCTTCTACTTCTATTGTTGGATGCAAATAGCGCAATACAACACGAAAAGCTCTTTCTTGTTTAGATTGGAAGGTGTAGTATTCGGCATTTATTTTATCTAACAATTTTATCATTTCGCGGTAATAATCTATCGTGCTAGGTAGAATTTTGACTTCACTATACATATTATACTTGTAGTTTGTTTCTTGAATTTTCTGGCGCATCATTGTAATAAATTTGGGCACAGAAGTAACATTTGCTAGCAAAATTGGCGGTATTGATATGTTTGCCCCTTGCCAATCTGTTTCTTCTGTTTCGTTCGTTAATAGAGTAAAACTATCATTTAGTTGTATAACGTGTGGGATTGTTTGAGGCGCCTACGTTTCTTTCGCCTTTTGCAATTCGTTAGTACCTACAGTTGATTTTGGTAATTCGCCGTTCTGTTCAGGTGTTGACTCATGGTTGTGGGTTTAGTACATTATCTTGGCCTGGGGGCGCAAGCTTGTGCATCTCAGCCCCATTGCTGAGAAATTGGAAGGTTCTTTTGTGAATGAGGGTATTGACTGACAAACTCCATTGCATCACGTAATGATTCCCCGTGAGATGAAGCCGAGAATCACACGCCTGTTGCCATGCTGTACCTGACGTCGTCTACTGCTGCCTTGCGTCGTAGAAGCAAGCGGCGTAACGCCCATCTGCAGCACGTGACGTGCCACTGTGGACACTTGCATCTTTGAACACTTGAAGTCCCTTTTTATACGTGCATATATTAATAAATACTTCAGTTGCACAATTTACGGCCATTAATTGCATCCGATGTTCTACGACATATATTGGTCCATATATTGGACACGATATTGTTCTGCCGTTAAGAAAATTAAAGCAAAAATAACCGAACATCAAAGGAATATAAAGGAACCTATTCAGAAATTAAACTCGATATCAAAACACCAAATCGAAACAGGACATATCATGGATTTTAGTTCAGTAGACATTATTGATCATTAACGTAATGGAGCCAGAATTATCTAAAAAATGTTGCACATAAAACTTAACAACTAAGTTAATACTATGAGAGAGTCTAATATATTAACCAATATTTACGAGAATCTACTCTAGAGTTTAAACTTTTAAACCACATAAATAACAAAATTTAATTATTTCTTCAATGCATGTCCCCCCTCTCTTCAACTATTTCAAATATTACAACCGATCAAAGAATATTCATCACGCTCAACGAATCTGCACAACTGAGCAGAGAGCAACAGAGAAACACTTCGCTAAACATTGTTTAAAAATAGTTACTAATGAATTGTATATATTGTAAATAGGAGTTTAAGCTCAAGAATCTAACTTAATAACTAACGGTAAGATTCTGTCTATTTTTATATTATAATAATATGTTATCAATGTATAAAAACATGTGCTGTAACAATTCATTGCTAAACAGATGTCTGTTGATGGCTAACAGAGGTAGCCGAAACGTAACGTCACCAATGTTAATTAACATCTACAATTACAGAATAAATAAAATTCAATGTGTATAAAGCAAATAATCTCTTATTATTTGTATTTTTTTTTGTTTGTACTCTACTACAACACAATCATCTATGATCAATGATCTCCCTGTTTTCGACGTCAACAAACTTACGTTCTTCAAACTTACGATCTTTTCCCCCCAACGTCACATACAGTTTTGACTGTTTTTGACTTAAATCTAAATCTACGTTCAGGAACTGAATTGGGCAGCACACCATCATCTGATGAATTCTGCAAAATCACTTTACTGTCATCACCTTCACTTCCGTCTTGAACAAAACGTTTTTTCGTTTAGTTAGATCCTTTCCTTACGTTTTCTCTTTGCCTGGTGTTCATTTCATTCTGGCGTGTCTGCCAGAATTGTTCTTCCTCTACACCTTCGGTGATTGAGCCCTGGGATCGGTGAGCTCGATGATCTCTGGTAATTCCTTCTGGTCGTGTCGTGCAACAGAAAGTCTCGGAAGTAATGTGTACCTAAAATGCGATGTGATAAGATGGAATAATAGTGATATTTACACAAACTGTTCAATTTTCTTTTTGAAATCAGTCCCAAATCAACATAGATATTTCGAACAATGCCTCAGTGTTTTGAAGGTATTCCAGAAAAAAAAATTAAAATATTTTTGTAAAAGATGAATACAGTTTTAAAAACTGTATTTTTCACAATATTACAGAGGATACAAGGAAGTTTGCCTCTGTTACAGCATAGGTAATTTCATTTGTGGAAGGGAATAATATTGAGATGGAAGGGCAACGAACGCTGGAAAAGCAGCTCCTGCACGTGAGGCCCATGCGGCGCCGCACCAGACCTCTCGAGCGCCCCACAAGTGGGGAGGGGGCGTTCACTTTACGACGCTCCTATCCGTATGATGTGGACGCTTCACATGACGTTGCATTCGGGAGGCACATGACCGTCGCGCTAGTAGCCCACATTTTTTTAAATTCTTCCCGGAAGCACAGAGAGATATTTGAAGAATGAGTTGTGACAATATTTGTTTTGGAAAAGGGGATCCACAGCGAAAATTCTACATAAAAAACAAGTTTAAATGCGGCATGCAAATTACCAATCGAACCATTTGTTCAGGCAGCAGAATATCGATTTTTGTTAGTTTTGTTGCTGCCACGTGGTGCCGACAAATTGAAACGCCAAAACTATTTTTTTTTTTTCAAATTGCTTTTCTATCTTCCGGGAAGAATTTTTTTAAAAAAAAGATATGGACTAGCGAGATGGCGACATGCTTCCTGGATCCAACGCCGTTTAAATCGTAGCACTAAGTGCGTCGTAAAGTGAAATTTGGGAAAATATAATATTCCGCCACCGCCGCGCGTGGGCAGAATACCTCTGCGCTCCGCTCGGCGCACGCAGGCGGGCGGTACGAGAGCACGTTCCTCTCGTGGGCAGGCTGGGAGTCGTCAGCTAAAGCTATTTTCAGCATCTCAACACTAGTTTTTTGCCCATATCAAACTAGGGTACTAGAACATATGCAGACGATCTCGATTCCTCTATAACAGAAACATCATAAAACTCAAAATATTGATTCTAATATGGAACTGATTTCTGAAAGAAAATTGAACTGATGAACAGTTGAAAGAAAATTTAACTGAGTAAATATGGCCAAAGTTTATGTTATCACATCGTATCTAAAGATACATATTACTTTTAAGATCTTCCGTTGTCATGCGAGTGCCAGACAGTGCCAGACAGATTTTAACGAGCTCGCCTAGCGTTTGCTTGTTTGGCTCTCTGCCTCTGTGGTATGGGGAGGAGAACCCTAAATTTCACCAAATTTGACTTCACAACGCACCTGTTTAGGCGATTCGGACACTTCGTACGGCGTTGGATTCAAGAAGCATGTCGCTATCGCGCTATAAGCCACGTTTAGAAATTGAAAATTGGATAATTCGTTCAGGCGTTTTTAGTAATCTAATTTTTGCTTATTTTGGTGACGACAACGTAAACTAGCATCGGTACACTTAGCCTTAAGAAAGTTATTGAAGCCACGTCACGTGTTCCAGGTTACCTCAACGACTTCATCCCGCAGAGCCCCGAGGAGCCGAACCTGTCCGTGGTGCACACGGAAGTGCTGACGCACGATGGAGGCATCCCCATCTTCCGACTGCGCAGCGCGGAAGAGACGGAGGCGGCGCACGACCTCCTGGAGCTGTCCCGTTCCCTGCCGCCGCTGCCTGCG